GCTCGGATTTTAAAGACAAAGGAAAGGCTGGGCGCCAACCCAACCGATGGAATGCACATCCTTTCCTGCCCCCTCCTCTCACATCAGAGAAAAGGGGTTGTCACCATCAGCAAGTCAGCGGAAAGGGGAACTGTGTCAAATACACCTCCCATCAATAGTTCAGTGGAGCACTTCCAGGTCATTTAGGAATGGCCCGACGGGAGTTTTCAGCTGGCAGAGGACTGATGCACATCACTTATTCCACGTCTGGCATGTGAAATCTCTCCCTTAAAGTGTTGACGAATTGAAAGCAAACCGATTTCTTTTCTTGTCCATTCATAGGACTTACGACTTGATAAACCGCAGCATTCATTGAGGGCTGGGTTGCATGAATATATTTGAACAAGGGAAGTTGGGAGATAATGTTTTGGGCACAATCATACAGAAAAGCAGGGAGTAGCATCACTGCCTCAAATCTGATTTGGCTTCAAGTTAAAACAACCTACATTGAGCCTCCAAGTGGAATGGAAAAAATGATTTAAACCACCAATGGCATGAAAACGTGACAGAAAATATTAGTTAAGAAATGCTACCATAATGACGGCACCATTATGTTAATGGCAATTATTGAAGCTGAGGTTATTGGTAATTTGCTGGCCTGGGGAAAAAAAAAAAAGTTACATATCGTCCATTACCAACCAGATGACAGAGGTTATGTAATGGGCAGGCCACTTTAGGTTTCACATTTACTTCAGACATCTGACGGGGAGAAAATAGGACTTTCTGTGATAGGATAATTGCATAGTGGAGAGTAATTCAAATAGGGGACGAGTATGATAAAATCACTCTGATTCAACTAATCACTGGGGAAAGGGATGGGGCAAAATGATGAAATCAAGCCAGAAGAGACAGGAAAAGATCAACACTGTTTAACAGCCGAGAGATGACAGGCATATTAAGGGACTGGGTTACTACAGAGCTACATTTTTATCCCCCGGCACTAACTGAAGTTAACTAAAGGTGTGAGTATGCGCGTAGTTCTCTAAATTGCTATTGCCAGTCTCATAAATATTTTATATACGTGAAAGGAAATTTTAACAATCAGTGTTGTTTGCAAGATTGTTTTTCTTAGATACACTTATATTATTGAGTCCTTCCAGCCATCCACCATCTGTGAGCACTTGGTGCTGAATCAATTATTGGCAGGAAGACACTTGGGGAGGCGCTAGGCCCGCTGACCTGACTCAGATTGCTGGGGGTGGGGACGGGGGATTGGAAACGGAAGGTTACCAGGTATGGTGCATGGCAATGATGGAGCACATTCTAAAATTCATTCTTCTCCTGGGCCATTTGAGCAGGGGTGTGTGGGGCGGTCGCTGCTCGGTGGGTGGCATGGGAAAGAAAGGGCCTTGGTGAACTGAGGTGCCTCCTAGGGCAACGCCCCAAATAATGACTCTGCTGCAAACCCACAGGAAAATTTGGATTTGACGTCTTTGATCTCCAAATGCTCACAGATCCCATGGCAAATAGCAACCTTTCCTATTCAAGAAGTAAGGTGTCATTATAGTATGAAAAGCAGTCACACCCATTGCTCCCTGGCCTCAACATAAACCAACATCCAGGAGGCCACTCAGTGGCCACTTCGTCTCCCTCCAAATGCCACATGGTTCCTGACTGCTGCCGATAGAGCCGCTTGACTGACAATGGAGCCCAGGCCAATCTCAACGACAAAACTGTCTCAAGACCAAACCCCAACTTGACATAAAAGCCCTCTTTCTTGTTTAAAGATTAGGAGCAGGGGAGAGCCACATACCCTGGACTGCTTAACCCAGATTTTATAGCATCAATTATGCTTACAAAGGATCTTGTACATCTATTTTAAAATACATGAAATACACATTTCTGAGAATTCTGGATAGCTTTACTCTGGGAATATTTCAATGCAAACAGAGCAACTTTTTTTTTTTTCCTTTTCAAAGGAACCACACCAATCATAGCAGTGTTTTTTTGGGGTTTTTTTTCCAACTTCACTAATTTAAAGCAAATAGGTTTCGAAATTCAGTTCCCTCCTGTCATCACCCTCACTATTAAATGCTCATAGACTGCAAGATCCCTTAACCAGCAGTAACAGCAAACATTTGCCGAACATTTACTGTTTGCCGGGCACTGTGCTAAACACTTTACGCAGATACACACAGAGCCACTGCAATTCTACCACCTGGGTGGGGAAGGAACTCCACCGAGCCTGCCCATGTGACCTGGGCAAATGGCTTCGCCCTGCCAAGCCTCTTTGTTCATTTCTGAAACAATGATGGTAACAGTGTCTCACTCCCAGGGTTGATTCGAGAATGAAACCAGAGGACACATGTAAAGTGCTTAGCACAGGGCCTGGTGCACAGTGAACTCCATAACCATAAGCACAGACTAGTAAATCATCGACTCCTCCTAACATCTCCAGTGAAGTAAGTGAGGAAAAGCAGTCCGCCGGGTTACTTAGCTTTTCTCACCAGCCTCTCCCACATTGGGGCAGTACTGAGATTTGCCAACTGCTCCCTTGCCACGTGGGCCCCCTGCCTCTGAGGAGCCGGGTCCAGCCTCTGCTGCTGGTGGGACCTCCCGGTTAGCGCGGCATGCTGCACAAGCCCCCGAGTTCCACACACCAGGACTTCCTTGTCTGTCAATTGCAGAGGCAGAACCTAAGGATACTTATGTCTCCCTACTGTAAAATTCTGTGATTCACAAGGAAATAAGTTAAAACAACTTTTTCCTCTCTCAGATGGACAATGTCATTACTAGTGTTTAAAACAGAACTTTTTTTTTGGCAAGGATTCAGGAAAAGGGACACTCACATACCACCACTCCTGCTGAAGGGACTGTGAATTGGCATAGCCTTATCTGGACAGAAATATTTTCATATGCAAAGAGCCTAGAAGATTGGTTCAGAGCCTCTGAACTGTCTTCCCCATTCCAGAAATCATCTTAAGGAAATTGTTACAGGATGCTGAGAGCATGGAAGTGATGACGATTGTGAACTCCAGGATCTCCATGTGCCTGGAGCCTACCTCTCAATTCCCATGTGACCTCAGAAAGTGACTTACCTTCTGCCTGTCAGTCTCCTCTTTTGAAAAATGGGGAAAATGATAGTAACTTCCATCACAGGGCTGCTATAAGGATAAATGAGTGTGTCTAAGATCCTTAGAGGCACACCCAATGTAGTAAGCGCTGAGTCACTTGATCTACGGTATTATTAATATACAAGATGATTCACTGCAGCATTATTGATGTGAAAATTTGCAAACAACTTAAATATCCAGATACAGAGGAGCAAGCGGATCAATTATGACACACCCACAGGTTGCAATATTATGAGGCATTTAAGAAAATCACAAAATACAGTGACACAAGAAAATACTGGCGTTATAATGGTACAAAGAACTAAAAAGAAGCTGGATAGGAAAGTGAAGAGGCAACACAATTGCAAATTGAAAAAAAAAACCCACACATTTACACGCATAGAAATGCAAAGAAAAAAGATAGGAAGGAAGGAAACACACAGGAACACAAGCTGTGGTTTCCTGCTGGGTGGTGGGACTTCAGGTGATTTTTTTTTTCCTCTGATAACTTTTTGATATATTCTTAAAGTTCCATCAAAGGGGTGTCCATTTTATAAATAAAAAATGGCAATTGTGGTGGGCTTTTTTTTTTTTTTCAGGTTTCTGACTGTTAGATTTGAATGGCCACCATGCTGCCTGTAAAGAATACCACTTGCTTCAAGGTAGGGACATAAGGACACACGACCACCCAGCTCCCAGGGCTGCCTCTCAGCACAATATTCTGTGGCAGATCAAAGTATTTTTTTTCTTCCAAGGCATTTCAGAGTTTCCACCAAAAATGTCTCAACATTTTTAAGTTAATAATCATAGAAGCAGTAGAAGCTACCATTCACTGAGCACCGTTTATGTGCCAGGATCTCTGCTAAGTGGCTCAAAATCATAACTTTGTTTAATCTTCACACTTCCTGTGTGTTTTTCCCACTTGCAGGTGAGGAAATTGAGACTGCTTTACCGGACATCAAAGCATAGGAAGTGACAGAGGCAGGCACTGAACCTGGTCAAACTCATGTTCCCACCTACTAAATTACATTCCCTCCTTCCCTGAATCAAAATAGTACAAAAATGTTTTAGAGACAAGCAAATGTGTGGGATCATCAGGCCTAAAGCAAAAATAAACTGTGGAAATCTGATCTAGCCAAAGAAGTGTGAAAGAAGCTAAAGTAAGAAGTGGTCTTTTGTAACGAAGTAATTCTGGAGATAATTATTAAAACCAAAAGGTAAGCAAACAATACATTAGAAATATAGAATTATGCAGTTTTGCAATGGTTTCCCATAATCCTCTGCCAATATGGCATTAATGTAGGATACTGCACCACTCAAAAAACCTAAAGCAAGAATGGAAGATGCCCTCTTTAGCTGGCCATAAGGAATAAAGTCAGAAGCCACTTTGGAAATCCAAAATGATATATCTGTGCACTGTCGTTCCACTTATTCTGCTGATAATAGGAAATTTCAGGGACCTCTTACCGGTCAAGACAAACATTATAATTACAATAATATTCCAATAGCGATAAAGAGAACTTCTGACTTCATCTTGACTCATTTAATTCCACTTAGATTTTCAATTCCACATTTTGGCAAACATCGCTTAAAGTTTTTATAGTTGCTTAGTTGAACCACAATGTACCTTTGAAGGATTTTTGGCAATTAGGGAATGCATTGCACAGTCATCAGCCATTCTCTATGGCTGTTTAATTAGTGCTACCTCTGCTGAAGGCACAAAATTATAAGACAAAAACTGGCACCTGAACCACATGTGGAAAGGGCAATCGGGCCCCTCGTAACTATGTTTCCTGGTTAACTAGACTTAAAAAAAGAAAGCTGAGTCAACTTTGATCTTGGAGAGTTGGTCCCTGACACTGCCTTGGTGTCTTAGGACAACACAGAGCAGAATCCAGAGGCACTTACCCGCACTGCTTCAGACTTTTTGTGAAACATCTCTTCCATATTCTTTGCCAGTTTTTTCACCAGTTGGAGGCCATCGATTTCTTCTATGGCGACGTCTTTCTCATATTCTTTATATTTCTGTAAGGAGGGAGGGCAACAATAAAGGCACATGACACCAGAAAGCACCGCCCACGTGATGTCACAGCATATCTACCTACAAGGAGTTAAGTGAAAACAAAGTTATAATAGGGTTGTGTCTGTCGGATCTGGGGAGAAGGGACTGGATTTCAAAATCATTAAACCAACTAGAGAGAAATGTGACAATTAGCTCTGACTCTCTTGGAAACTTATCTGGCACCTAGGAAAAGAATAAACTCTAAAGCAAATAAACTCTTTATCAGTCATCCTCTTCAGTTAAAATCAACACTCTGTGCTTCCAATTTGACCACAGTCAACCATTCTTCTGGAGGACCGCCCCAGATTGACTAGCTATCCTGCAGCCAGGAAAATGACTAGTCCAGATGTATCACAGAATAAAAATAAAGAAATTCAACTTTTGTGGTTTTTTTTGTTTTTTTTCTTCCCTTGAACATCACTGACTTAATTTTTTTATGGTCAAAGACTTAGGGAAAAACAGTTTCAAGGCTGTGACTCTAAAGTATAATTACAGCAGGAGTCCGCAATCTATAACCCTTGGGCCAAATCCAACCCATCGCCTATTTTTATAAATAAAGTATTATTGGGACAAAACCCATACCCATTTGTTTACATACTCGATCAAGTTAAGTAGTCACAACAGAGACCAGATGACTCACAAAATCTAAAATACTTACTCTCTGATCATTTACAGAAAAAGCTTGCCAACTCCTAAACTGGGGTAGGAATTAAAGACAGTAACATGGCAGAGCATCTTACAAACACTTTATAATGACCGAGCCCTTGCTATGGATTTAGTAATTCGACTCAATTATTAAGGGCTTCCTATGAGCTCACAGAAAGGAACATGTATAATAAGTACAAAAACCATAAAAACACCACTGTACATAAGATTTCATAATTTGTTAGTCTGTTCATAAGGGACGGATTTGACTCATAGTTTACCCAAATTCTCAAAAACAATTTTTCATTTAAAAACCATCATATGCCCTGGTCGTTTATCTGTTTAAACCAGCAGTTCTCAAAGTGGCCCAAGAACTCCTGCAGAGTCCCTTCCAGGGACCCATAAGTCCTCCCTTTTTCTAACAGCACACCTATGTGAAGCCAGATTTTCTTCAAAGATTTTTAACAAATCAGAGCAGATTTAAGACAGAGGCACATATGAGAATCACCTATCTTCTCTTAAACCAACCTTAAAAAGATTTGCAAAAATGAAAACCAAATGCCACTCCTCTAACGAAATCTTTCTCTTTTGGAAAACAGAGTTATTTTTCATAAAATGTTACTTATGTTAACATGTACAGAGTTTTTATTATGTTTTGAATTAATTTTTAAATGTCTTGATTTCAATTTCTCATATGGCAAATATCAATAAACATGATCCGTACAAACAAAAGGTCTTAGAGATCCTCAATATTTTGTAAGAGTGTAAAGGGGTCCTGAGTCTAAAACGATTGGCTTAATGAGATTTAATTTTGGTCCCACTGGAAAGAAATATTGTTTACTAATAAAAACCTTCCAAATGGAGCTCCAAATACTTCTAATGTCAACAGAATCCATTCCTGTAGCTATCAAAAGGCTGGGGAACTGAAAATATTGAGGGCTTTATATCTACTGTTATTTATGGGGAAAACCTGAATCAGTTACTAACCCCTCACCACAAGCTCCTACTTAGGAAAAACAAAGGGCTCCACATCGTACCTTGGCTTTGGTGACCTTGAGAATCATTTTTGAAGTGGAAAATATAATAACATTTTAACAGCAGGATCATTTTTGAGATATAAATTTGTATTTTCTCCCCATTTCCCTTCCTAGACCTTCAAAAATGTAAAGTGAAAGGAGGCTCAGTCATGCCTTGCCCCAAGGAAGGAAGAGTGAGTGAGTGAGTGAGTGAGTGAGTGAGTGTGTGTGTGTGTGTGTGTGTGTGTGTGTGTGTGTGACAAAATGCTTCCCTTCCTAGCTTAGATTCCCACTGGGCATCTGAAAGGAAAAGATTAGAATTTGAAGACAGAGGAAGTGACTAAGGAAACAAACATAAAGAGAGCATTCCTCTGACCTCTAAGAAATCCCTAGAGTTTGGGGGCATCTGGCCAGCAGTCCCCAGGGCCCACCACCAGACATTGACAGCGTAGGAGGTGGGAATGGCAGGAAGGGCCCTGACCTGAACATTAGGCCCAAGGACTTGGCATTTCTCAGAATTAAGGCGATCCTAAACATATAAACAAAATGCTAGTCTGAACAACCTGAGTCTGCACCACAACGGACGACTCACATCTGCTATATTATTTATAAGATGCTCTGAGCTGCTCTGTGTGATCCTATAATGGACCACAAGTTGTAAATGACAGGTTTCTCCCTGCGCCCTGAAAACATCCATAAAAATCTTGTACGTTTGTCTTCAGAGTCTCTTGAGTGCATCTTACCTGGAAAACCAGTACTCCTTCTAGCCCTCCCCTGCTCCTCAACAAGGGTGTTCTGGTTCCCCAAGACAAGGAAGCTGCACCCTCTGTCTGAGCCCCCAGGGCTTACCCCTCCTGGCAAGGTAACTTGTGTGGTCTAGGGGGTGAAGACAGGTCCTCATGGTCCCCCACTGGCCCACACTGGACACTTACAGGACTTCTCCAGGTGAACTTGTGGCAGAACAATTGCGATGTTACAACACAAGGAACATGCAAGCATTGCAGCTACATTGTCCTACGGTTCTCTAGGTGACCTCCCCATCCCTTGGGAGGTTGGCTGGGTTGGTCTGGAATGTGGGAGGCCAGCCAGCCCAAGCCTGGCTCAAGCTAACAGCGTCCTCTGCTGTATGAATAAAACTTCAGTGACAATCACTGGAAACTTTCCCTAAGTTCAAATGAAAGCCAATGTCTTTGGAGCCAAAAATCCTGGGGGTCCTCTGCTGCCTGCCAGATGTGCTCCAAAAGCCAGCAGCTGAGGCCAGCTTATAGCCAAGGCTGATTCACCACCAAAAATACAAAGTTCAAAAAGTGAGTAAAACAAAACAAAATGAATGTCAGTCTAATATTTACAGAGTCAGTGAAATCAATCTCTGTCTTAAGTAATTCGGTAACTAAAGGTGATCTAGACGCTTAAGATAAAGAAAACTAAAATGGATTTCACTTAGCCTTTCCTAGAATCTTTTGGTTTTTATATAGGGGCCATTACTCTGAACTGTCTCTGTTAGTTACATGGGTTCCTCCTCCCCCAATGGACTTCTAAAAGGGAATCAATTTCATTAATTCTCACCGTCTCCCAAGTTGTCAATAAGATCCTGCTTCATCGTCTCTTCTGAGTCTGCTCTGTGAGAAGGAGCCACTGGCTTTCTGCAGGGTTGTCAGTCTCCCAGGACTATTTGTGCCTGGTGAACTAGCTTACCAATCACAACATGAAGCTCTTTGCCAAGCCAAGGACTCCAGATCTGGGACAAACACAGCAGTTCGCTGGTTCCATTCTTCTGCCAACCTAAGTCTTCTCCCTTCAGGACATGTGACGATGGTCCTCTTGGCCAATGAACCAAGCCCAGTCTCCTTTCTCACCACCCCGGGGAAGTGATCCCATAAGGAAAAAACACTCTGCTTTTCAAAATGTGTTAATGCCTGTTGGAATCAGGTCAAAACAACGTAATGCCTTACTCTTACCAGGAAATGTTACACTTTGCTGGAATCAAAGGATTTTGAAGAACAGAGAGATTAACCCAGTGATAGCCATTAATCAACCCCAAGCCTCTAGCAGCTTAGAATGGTGATATACATCAAAACCTTCAAAAATGTGCCTACAGGATGAAACCAAGCAATGTGACCTCCAGCAACTGGATAGAGTAAGCTACAAAGGCACAACTGAGTTCCACACAGGCATCCCCGATTGTGTAAAAGAATGCAGGAAATGTGCAGACAGCATGAGACAGACAGTAATCAGTGACTTTTTATTTTCAATTACTAATCTGCATCCATGCGCACACACATTAGCACACACATGAACACACCGCTAGAACGACATGCCAAGTGTTCAAAGCTGGCTGTGCAATTAGAAATGGATTTTTATCTTTCCTTTTATTTTTTATTTTGCTTACCTGAATTTTCTAATCTTTATAATAAACATACTATTTTGGAGATTAGAAAAATGTAACAGTTGTGGTTATATGTAGAATAGCATATGGGCACCTAGTAAACAGATTCCTTGAGGAGAATGTGTCCCGATTAGAATCTGTGTAATTAAGCACATGTCTTCATTAGTAGAGCCCAAGCAAGTCAGTATAACGAGTCCTCCTCGGTGAAGCCGAGGCCTAGCGCGGTGCCGGGAGCTTTTCACGTGTTAATTAATCTAATCCTCACAACTACTCTGAGAGGTTGGCATTACCCTATGTTGCAGATGGTGAACTGAGGCACAGGGAGGTTTAGTCAACTGTTGAAAATCAAATGGATCAAGTGAGTTTTAAACCTAGCAAGGTCTAACTTCTAGCCACTTGGTCATTTGAACTTGGGGTGTAAAGGACTGACTAAATATTCACAAGCCTGTTTCAGAGGGACCATTTTACCGCCATAACAGCCCCTGTTTCATCGATTTTCTAGCCAACAGCGGCTTGGACTCGCCAAGAGAGTCAAATGTCAAAAACCGGAGACATGGTTAGTTAACATGGGCTGTAGCTGCTCACCAGGCTGCCAAGTTAGAAGCCACGAAGCCAGGCCACACTGGATGTTACAGGAGTGAACACTGTCCCTCCACAGGGCCACAGAGGCCTCAAAGGAGCAGACACAGCTCCTGATGATAAAAACACCTGGGGAGAGAGGGAGCCCACTCTGAAGGTGGCCCTGAAGCCTTAATTATAAATCATTCCATGGTTGTGTTTGGGCGACAAATCATCTTGTTCTCCAAGGTACCAACAAGCGCTGGAGGCAGAGTCCCCAAGTTCCTCTCCCTCCAGCCTCCACACAGCTGCACAGGCAGCGGTGCTCTGTCTTCTGGAGCTTCAAGGACCATGCCGA